GAACTATGTTTAGAGTCTGAGTAGTATTTATTTCAAAGTTTCAGTTTGTATACAATATTATGTATAAAGTAGGATTGCCCATTTCATGGGCACCGAGGGCTCAGCAGTGGGTCTGATACATCCTGTAGCATTAGTGTCACTTCAGAACCAGGCAGGGTCATTCTGTGGCACACAGGGCCCTGTCATCTGACCTCCTGCCCCCTGCGCGAGCTGGCTCCTCAGGCTCCTGGAGCATAGGTCGCTCTGGGACCTGTGCCTGGAGAAGGCTCTGGAGTCATCTGAACGGTCCCGCCCAGACGCCACCGTCCTGCCCTGCTTTGGATTTTCCTTAGCACTGCCATCTGATGCTTTACATGCTTGTTTGCTGCTTTGCCGCACGAGAAGAGGTCTCTGTTCTCTTCCCTGTGCACCACGCGCTTCGGATGGCCAGCATGCAGCTGTCCATCTGTGAACCAGTGAGTGGAACACGTCTGCTCTGCTTTCCAGGGTGTCCTGCGGATACATTTCATTGAAGCTCAGGATCTTCAGGGCAAGGATACTTACCTTAAGGGGCTTGTCAAGGGGAAGTCCGACCCCTATGGAGTCATTCGAGTTGGCAACCAAGTCTTCCAGAGCAAGGTCATCAAAGAGAACCTTAGTCCAAAGTGGAATGAGGTGTACGAGGTAAGATTATATACTGTTTTGTAAAATTTTCATTTAATAACACCCGGACATTCTTACACATCAGTAAATACGGATAGACCTGATTTATAGTAGCCATTCACTGAATAGATACCGTCATTTCTTTACCCAAAGAGATCTCGGCTGTTGGGTTCAGCATTTTAGCCCCTGCTGTGCAAGCATGAGGTGGATGCATTTTTCTCCACCTGGCCACCTTTTCCCCAGGTAAAGCTCCTCAAAGTGGGGTTGCTGTACCAGAGGTCACACATGTTGGGAACCACCGGTACGTTCTGCAGAGCTGTTCTGCAGAAGGCAGGGCAGTTCGCTCCACCAGGGCTCATCCCCCCAGGCCCGTCTGCTGCCCGCTTCCCGAATCTCTGGGGGCTGCTTCCTGGTCGGGTATCCCAGGGATGACCTCTGAGCGGAGGGAGCCTGCACCAGGCGGTGGGGCTGTCCTGTTCTGGAGCCTCGGGCTGTAACCCCCGGGAAGCGAACACAGACGAACACAGACCATTAGTATGCGGGCAGCATGTTTCCAGATGAGAGGCGTGCGTGGTTTGCCAGTGAGAGAGTGAGCGCTTCATAAGGACTTAGTGCTGGAGAAGAGTATGTGGTGACACTCGTCGTCTCCATCGTACTCAGGAGATGATGAGATCAATAAAAATGGAAAATAACCACCAGTCATTAATCCTTCAGGCCCTGGTCTATGAACATCCTGGACAGGAATTAGAGATTGAGCTCTTTGATGAAGACCCGGACAAGGACGACTTTCTGGGAAGGTACATCTTTGTGACTGAGCAGAGCGTAGCATTACTCTTTTTAATAACCTCTTAAAACTATAATTCAGAAATAGATTTATGTACATGTTATTTGTATTTTTAAATGGCTTTTAGGTGTAACATTTGTTTTACCTTAGGCTTCCTGAAACGTGTTTTATTCCTAACAAGTTGCACATGTTAGTAAGAGAGCGCGCTCTGTCCATCACAGCAGCCAGTAGCCACAGGATTTCAAGAGACTTTCTCAGTTGTGCCGGCCCATTTTCAGTGCTCAGGAGGCACATGTGGCCTGAATGCCAGGGCAGCTTTCCAGCTTTCACATCATGCGGGCAATTTTGCTCTGGATCATAGAAATGGGTTTTAAACTTTTTCATTTTGTTGTTTTTTTTTTTTTTTTCCGGGGGGGAGGGGATAGTGATTTACATTGTGCCTACACATTAAAAAAATAAATATCAATTTGTTTAATTGAACAACCAGTACAGCTGAAAAAGTGAGCTTTTTGAAAAGTACACTTTAATGTAATCTTTATATTTAACTGAATTTCTTGTGGAGAAAAGATACAGGGATAGATGACATTGGACAGGTTTGGCCTCAAGAATACTTTATGTGTTACGCTGTGACTTCTGAATTCATTCATGAGACAGTTTAACAAGGAGCAACCAAAAGGTTATAAGTAGGGCAGCGAACAGATCACACTTGCATTTCAGTAAATCCGGACTGATGGGAGTGTCAAGGATGGAGCTGGAGACTGGCGGATACCAGGACACTGGAATAGGCCAGGAAAGAGATGCGGGGCTTGGCCTGGGACAGGAGGAGGAGGAGTGGGGGGAGGGGCGGCTGCAAGAAGAACCGAGGGGAACCACCCACCATTTTGGGCTGGTCCCAGTCCTTGCAGTAGAGTGGGAGTCTAGTGGACACGTCAGGTGTGCAGGCTCCAGACACACGGTGGTCCCCAGCGAGGAGCCAGGTGGGGAAGGCGGCGAAGGCCTAACTTGGGATTCCAGCAGCTGAGCCACAGGGAGCATGGCAGACAGGGCCCATAACCTTGAATACGTTTGGCACGTTATAAACACTGCATGTGGGGAGCCCAGCTTCTTTTACAGCTCCTGGCTCAGCCGAGTGCTCTGGCGCCCCAGAAACTCAGCCCTGCTCTCCTTGCCTCTCTTCACACTCTTGGCTGGAAGCTTGAGGAAGCCTTTGGAAGAAGTCTGGTTCTCGATAAACTGTGTGGCATTTTGTTGTATTTCTGGAGTGCTTTTTCATAGACAAATGCTTACGGTTATTTCAGCCGTGAGAAGTTTGTTTTTGTGTTCTAAAGTTGTTGTATTGTTATTCCCGTAGCCTTATGATTGATCTTACCGAAGTTGAAAAGGAGCGCCTTTTAGATGAAGTAAGTTTTCTCCCAGTATTGTTCTTTTCTGTTTGATGCACTGAGCACTGCCGCTGCCTGCCACACCTTGTTCTGAAAACGTAACATTTGGCTCACAAATGCTGAGAATGTAGGCCTTTTAGTGATAGCAAAGTGGAAAGAATTTACGAGCCAAATCACGTCGTCTATATTGGGTACCCACCACGTGCCGGAGGTTTTCGTGTGGTCCTTTGGGAGGTGGGCAGAGGCCGGGGGAGTAGTGGGCATCCTGAGGTGGCTGGAGTTAATGGCAGAGCTGGCACAGCATACCCATGATTGTCGCGTGCAAGATCTGTAAGTGCAGTGGGAATTGACAGCAAGCGGGATATCACTGTCCGTAAAAGCTATATGAAAAGGAGAAGTAGGTGGTGGCCTCTAAAAGATGGTAAGATTTGGATACGTAAAGCGCAGTTAACCAAATCAGCGGTGCTGCCGCCTGCTTTGGGGAGCACGTTTCCCCCCTGGGCACGTGGCACCCGTGGACAGACGTTCGCGTGCCTGCTGTGTGCGGGTCCCGGGTCGCGGCACAGGGCAGAGGTGGCCGAGTCCAGCACTCGAGGCGGTCTCCTCTTAGCGCTGTGTGTGCGACCCACCCTCAGTTAATCGCTTGGTGGCTTTTCAGCCAAAATCACTGTATGTCATTTTGTTAATTAGTATATAGTGAGGAATAAAAACATAGATGCTTCCTTGATACTGAAATTTAGTATTCGGGCTTGATGTTACATTATCTATGGTCCATAAATGAGACATTTGAATCCTTGTATGTAAATTAGGGGTGAAAATAGTACTTACCTCACGGGGCTTCGCTTGGGTTTGGTGAGTCACTATTTGTGAAGCGTCGAGCGTGGTCTTGGACCGCAGGCAGTGCTGTGCAAATCCCGTCGTCATGGACCATGAACCCGTTGTGAGAGCACAGAGCAGATGTGGCAGGGTTTGGGCCTTCAGCGGCAGTGACAGCTGACGCCGTAGTTAGTGAGCGGCTGGTGACATTTGTGGAGCTGTTTAATTTGGATGTCGATTCAGAACTTTTGCTGAACCTATGCTTTTCTCTTCAGTGGTTTACCTTGGACGAGGTCTGCAGAGGAAAGCTGCACTTGAAACTGGAGTGGCTCACGTTAACGACAGACGCCTCTACTCTCGACAAGGTGCTGTGACCTGTGTCCCGGGCAGCCAGCCACTCCTAGCTGAGAGCAGTGTCTACATCAGTTAAAAAAATCACAACTATACTTTGATTATAGTAGTAGCATCAGGGACGAATTAAAGGTAATAGAATTTTTTAAGAGAGGTTCGCAGGTCATTTGCAACTGTTTCACAAGATCCTGAAAGCTTGTGCCTGACGCAGGGCAGGCGTTTGGGTAGCCACAGGTCACCAGGTGCTTCGTTCAGCTGATTTTACAGAGTCTTATCATTTAAAAGATTTCACTGTTTTCATTCTGCCTGCACCTGTCGCATGGTTTATGTTCCACGTTTCCGATTTTTTTGAGCATTAAAAGCATGGTCAGGCCACAGGAGTCCAAAGTCATGTGTGGACACACTGGCTGAGGCTCCTTCTTGTCCCTCGTAGGTGCTGACAGACATCAGAGCCGACAAGGGTCAAGCCAATGATGGGCTCTCCTCTTCTTTGCTGATCTTGTATTTGGATTCAGCGAGGAACCTTCCGGTAGGTCTCGTTGTGGGACTGGGGTGCTCATTTCCACGCCGTGTCGCCTGTCCCTGTTGCTGTGTCTTCACTCTAGCCTGACTGCAGCGGTGGAGAGGGATGGTGTCACTTTGTTGTGCTTCTCACTGGTCATTCATTATCATCTTCACTCTGACATGTTTTATGGGGCAATCTCTCATACAGAGGAGATCCACACAACTTCCTAGGAGTTAGGGAAGAAGAGATTCTGTAGAAAATCACTGAATATTAAAACTTAGTTGCCTAAGATTTTATTCTTTATTTGGCATGAGAATACAATGAAGCAGCTCTGATGACAAATCCAGAGTTCGTCGCGACTGTCGCTTGGCAGGTTGACGGGCGGGACAGCAGTGGGAGGGTGAGTGCTGAGCAGTGCGCTGGCGCCAAGGACACGCTGGCACAGCAGACAGACATGCTATGCTGCCTGGCCGGTCTCCTTCCACACGCTCGGTTCCCGGGCGCTGAGGGCGCACTCCCGCTCGTCTGCATCAGAATCGCTTTGCTCTTAGAAAAGCCGGGAAGAGCAGGTTTTAATGGCAGCGACTGTAGCTTGGGGAAGAAAATCATGCAGCTTCAGTCGCGTGAGGCCTGCTGTGGGGCCCCCCACACACAAACACACCCCACCACACTTTAACCCCACTGTTTAGGGCAATGTGCCAGTTAGAAATTTACATCATTTTGGTAACTTTTTGAGTGCCTGTTCACTTGTTCAATAGATGGTCATTTTTGCTTTATTTCATTGTATCAAAGGCCAGTTTTGTTGAAGGAAAGACAGCTGTCCCAGATACATGGTGTTTTCCTCCCAGGATTACATTACATGCTCATTCATGAAGTGCGTTTGTACGTGTCACCCGTGTCCCTTCTCCCTTGTGGAGCTAGACGAGAGAGCAGACGTGTGACTCAGCCCTTGGAGTACCGCATCTGAGTGCTTCACCTGGAGCTCCAGTGTAGTGTCACCCTCCATGGTTAGACCGTGTCTCCTTTATCTCACGAAATACAAACCCTCATTTCATTTAGCACCTTTCAAGGTTTTAAAATTGTGTGTTACTTAGGCTTTGCTCAAAAGCATAGTGAGTGTATTTTTGTGCATTAGTATGCTTTATTTAGTTTTTAACAAAATCCGATCACGTTTTCTTTCATCCTGGGAATGTGTAATTGAACTCTTTGTATGTAACTGTATGTACAGTAGACCCTTGACCAACTTGGGGGTTAGGGTGCTGACCCAAAGTGAAAATCCCTATGTAAGTTAGGTCGGCCCTCCGCACGTGAGGGACCCAACCCGGATTGAAGGCACAGTGGGCCCTGAACCGCCCTTCAGGGACGGTGGCCGAGTTCAGCTTCTCACGTGCTTAATTCCTCCGAAGGTATTAACCTTTTGGCCAGGCCTCCGACTCACGTCTGTGGCATTATCTGTAATAATTTCAGTTTGGGGAAAGGTGTTTCATTATTATTTAACTTCTCTACAGAATTTCTTATATGGTAGAATTTTTTGTTTTTAGCCACAATAATGTTTGTTATCTAGTCTTTTATAATGCCTGATGCAAGTGAATTTGCTGTTTATTTTAGGATATGGAGAATAGTATTGCTGAATTGGCAAGAAGGGACTAGGCTTCTCTTCAGAACTGTGTTTTATCACATTTAATTGAAATTTTAATAACATGTAAGCAAAAAAAAGTGAATTTATTAACCTTCTGTTAAGAGGGCACTTCGCGCATGAAGTGTGCTCTGGCTGTCAGAGGCAAAGGACCTTCGCCAAACTGCTGCCCTGTTGGGTGTTTATTTGAAACGGGAGTGTCCACCAGCGGCCCTCCCGCGTCCCTGGGCCCCTTGACTCTGCTCCTGCACGCCTGTCGTCGGCGCGGCCTGTGCGCACATTTACCACAACCCACCGTTCTCTGCTTTCTCCCCCATGTCCCCTTTCCTAAGAGTGTCTACGAGGGAAACTTTGGGTGTGGCTACTTAAAAGAGAGGCGAGCGTCGGGACTAGTGTTTTGTGAAAATACTACCTCAGTCTATAGAGCACTATTTGTGAGTTCTCCAGTGTTTTCTTCCTTTTGTTTTAATTGACACTGCTAGAATGTGGACTGGAACTTCTAGTGCCATCTACTCAGTGCTGGAATGACGTGGCATGCTTTTTTATTTCTCGCATGCTTTCAGTTACTGTGTGTGTGTGTTTCTCTTGTGCTTGTTTTGTAAAGTGTAATACACTGTAACTAACACGGTGACTGCATCTGATGAGATGGACGTCCCTGGTGAGTCAGGAAGACCCCATCTGTTCCCAAACTGCTGCTGGCCCACAGAAAAAAGGAAATAAAAGTTCTGTGGAAAAAATGAAGCCATAATGATTCCACTGATTTTTTTTTTTCATGATTTATCTCAATGAGAGATGTAAATATTTCTTTAAAAGCTTTCAAAATATTGCCTTAAATCTGCTTTCTCCTCCTGACCAAACAGAAGTATCAAAACCTGGCTTTCCTTAAAGTCCCAAATGTGCCAACAGGGATGGTCAGTGAAGACAAAAATTCACCTATTACCCTGAAAACTTGCCTTCTCCCCCACTGTTTAAACAGAGTTCCTAAGAGAGAAAAAAGTTATTGGGTTTATAATTCAGCTTCTTTTAAGGAACTTGAAGAATTTCCTGGAGTGGATAATCGGGCCTTTCTTGCCTTGTGTGGGAAGCTGGTTTTGATCTCAGCGTATCTGTTTCCTGGAGCCTCGCTCTGGCGCTTTGATTCCTGGCCGTCTTCTCGGAGCTTTTAGCAGATAGTTTATTCCTACTCACTTCGGGGTGAGAAGAAGCCACAGATGGCTTAGTCATTAGTCTAGAGAGTCACCTTTTCTAGGCTAATTACTGCTTTAATTCAGTAACTAGTGATTTTTTTTTTTTACATGTACCTACAGTCTTTCTAGGTGGTCTCCCATCCAAGTACTAACCAGGCCCGACCCTACTTAGCTTCCGAGATCAGACGGGATTGAGCGTGTTCAGGGTGGTGTGGCCCTCGACTAGTGAGATTATTAAAATTCATTTGGCCCTTGCATCCACGAGGGGTAGAGCTTTGCATTTTTGAAGAGTCCTCATTTCCGTTTCCACATGCATTCTCGGTTTATACTTACTGTAAAATGGGGGGAGGCAAAACTTGCAGAATAGGTATCTTGTCCCAGTTTATAGATGAGGAAAATCCAGACCCTGAAGGGTGTGTGAGCCGACAGTAAACGGTCTGCATCTCCTCTACCTGCACCTGTACAAAACGGCAGTGACGCATAGTGGCATCTATTTTTTTTTTTTATCACTTTTTAATGAAATGATTTTCTATTTTGGGTGTTTCTTAAAGGCAAGTTGTATTGTAAGCTGCTGTAAACAACAGTGCGTTGCTGTGTAAACAGTCTGTTGCCAGTGGCTTTGCTGGGTTACTTCTTTCCACTCTGTAACTGCTGCTTTGAAAGGAAATACTCCTGACCTTCTGTCAGAGTTTCGTAATTGGTTTGTAATGTTTCTCTGAGATACACTGCCTGGTTATCAAAACTGCCTTTCCCCGTGCTCTGTCAAAATCACATACTCTGCCCTATGAGTCAAACATCGGCATCAACAAAATGTTCTCGAAAGTGAATTTGAACAGGTTGTTTTCTTTTAACCCATTGGCTTTCAGTATGAAGTTTCGCAAAGCCTGAGCCCTTTACCATTTCTAGTAAGGGTTTTAGACGCCTGCCAGCCCGCTGCTCTCTGCATTCTGCCTGCCCCGAATGCTCAGATTTTCCAGCCCCAGAGCTCGGTTCCCACCATGATCCCCACCTGGAAACTCTTAGCACGGCAGGCCTGACTCCCAGACTGGAAGGGCCTCTTCACAGCACTGCGCCCTCCTCCAGATCACATCCTGGCTGAAATTTCAGAGGAACACTGAGGGTGCTGACTCCTAGTGGCCAGCTCCAGACCTCTGGCTCCTGTGGTGACTTACGTTTGCTGAGCACGTGCCACGGCCTCTACCTGGGTGGTGTGTTCAGTCCCGGGCCGTCACGACCACTTCTCGGGAAAGGGAGGAGACAGCACGGAGCTTGAGGGATGAAGATCGGAGACCAGGGTCACAGCTAGTCAGTAACAGAGCTGGGATTTGAACTCTGTATGTGACGCAGAGTCCACATCCTTGACCCCTGTCTGCCCTGTCCTAGTATGAAGTGGATTTGTCACTTTATCAAGGTTACATCACTGTAGGTGGAATCTACCTGAGATGGGTGGTGTTTGCAGTAACATCTACTTTATACATAGAGATGCCAGCTGTATAGTATGAAGACCCTGGTTGTCAGGATGCTAGTGTTTTTCTCATTAAAAATGCAGGTGCTCATTGCTCTCCCCATTGGTGGTAAGTGGCCCCAGGGGGAAAGGTACAATAGGTTCCAGAGGCCTCATGCTGCCCCACCCCCAGTGCACCTGGCTGATCCTGCCTGCCTCACCCCCAGGACCTCACACAGCACCCTTGCACCCCTCACCCCACCCCACCCTACCCCACAGCCGCTCTCCTTGCTTTGCTTAATGGATGCATGTTAGGGTAATGTGTTCTTTTAACATGGTCTCGTCCATCCAAAGAGAGCTTCAGAAAGGTTACCGTCAGTCCTACCTCAGGGAAGTGGTTCCCAGCCTCCCTTGTCCAGGCGCCCCCCGCCCCTGAGATGGACCATCAGGTCCGGCATTCTCGTTGCCTTTGTTCCTTTTGGCCAGATGCTTGATCTCCTCATCGGGCCCAGCCCGCCACGGTCATGGAAGACTGGGAGGCTAGTTGCCCCTCTTTCTTCATTATAAAATCTGCTGTTTATAAAATAATAATAAAATTCAATTTGTCATTTAATTACAATTTGTCAATTAATTTGTCAACTAGAGCTTAATTACAACTAAAAGGATGAAATCTTTTATAGGTTAGTCTTTGAAGGAGCTTGGAAAACAACTCAGTCTTGCCCTTTTGAGGGCAAGAAAGAAATGAATTTACAAATTTAATAAAACCAGGACATAAACCCCATAATCATAGAACTTTAAAGCCAAGAGAACCTCTCGAGGTGACCTAATCAGCCTCGACATTTTATACTTGGATAAGATTGGGATGAAGTGGAGAAGGCCCATCTCTACTGTGGTTTTGCACGAAGAAAGTAAATTTCAGAAGGAAGACAAGTAGCATCTGCTCTCATAGGACAGAACTTGGCCTGAGAGCAATTTGGGCACTTATGGCTCATTCATTGGAACTTTAGCTAAAACCTTTAGTTTAATTATAGTTGACATTTTAGGGGTTTATTCAAGCGAAGGATAGTAAATAGAACCCTTTCTTAAAGTGTCACCATTGGATTTTTCAGATCCCAAAGATAGGAGGAGGGGTGTGGGGAATAAAGGAATAGCAATCACAGAGGGTAAGGGAGTGCGTTTTGATATTTGTAGATTAAACATTCATTCTAAGATAAAATCTTGTGCATACAGAAGAATTTTACAAATGATTTTCACTATTTTTTTGTGTGTAATTCTTGTTGGTGGTTTTCGTTTAAAGATATTTTTTGTTCGCATAAATTTTCATGTCATTAACCTTACATAAACTCCTCATTGCATGTTTTATTAACCCTTGGTATATTCATTTTCTTCTGACTTGAAAGAATAACCCATTAGAATTTAACCCTGATGTCTTGAAGAAGTCTGCAGTGCAGAAATCTTTAAAGGTAAACTAACGGTTTTCCCTTCAAAAAATTAAGACATATTGAAAGAGGTGATGCTTTATCCTCTTGGGTTTATGGACAAATTACCTCCCATACTAATTAGTAATTACTTGTCTAGTTGGAGAGAGCCTACTTTTGTTACCCAGGAATTAGTTAGAAGGATTCAAGTCAACTTCGAAGATAAATTTTCTAAAGTTCCGACATGATAAATTAGACATCTGTCCTGTTGGCTTTAGGCAGCAGTATCTAAGGTGGTTTTAAATCATCTGTATTTTAATTGGATCGAATTTGTGAAAATGAACTAGAAGTTCTGTTTTAAATCTGAACCAGTTTTTAGGTGATGATTGACAGGCTCGCCTCATGCACTGTGACTGTCCATTTAGACATCACCTCTTCCAATATGCTGAGTGAGGCTGTCTCTGATTCGGTGACCTCAGAGCTTTTGGTGCTGCCGGGTTTGCTTGTCAGATCTTTCGAGAAGCTTTAAATTTCACTAAATGAGGTGTATTGAAAACTAAGCTCCACTCCCTAAAACACCATGGATGTGTATTTTCTGGCTAAATTGTTAAGTTTTTTATGACTTACAATGTTATTACTCTTTTCTTTGATTTCTTTGAACATTTAGGCTTACATTTGCGGTGGGGGGGGGGTTAAACGTAATTGTTTTAAGAAAATTCCATTGAAAGGAATCAGGAATGGTTTTTAATCAGTTTCCTCTAGAAGGATAATTTCAAAAGTGAGGAAGACTAACAAAGCGTTCTTTGATGTAATGTTTAGTAAGCCCTGCTGCCCCGTGCTGAGGAGACGGGTGTGGCTTCACAGTGACTTCCTCCTTCGGGGTACTCGCTAGCCCAGTGGTGGGTGTTAGGATTCCCACCGAAGCACTGGAAGGAAGCATCCTATCGGCCTTCCCTCCCCGTCTCTTTGGTACCTAAATGTCATGGTCACAGTTAAGGCTGTGAAATCGGACTCTGGGTTTGAGTCACAGCAAGGCCACTCATCGGTGGACCTGCAGCACACTGGTTAACTGTCTGTGCAACGGAGTGGAAGTGATCATATCTTTCCTGGAGGGCTGAGTAAATGAACAGGATCACACATGTGAAGTGCTCAGGATAGCTAGGGCAGTATGTTTAATTGTTCTAGTATCTCGTTTGAGCCTAACAGCTAGGTTCTGAAGGAGTACCATGCCCGTTTACATAGACCTGAACGCTGAGGTCCAACTCGATTAAGTATGTAGGTCTCAATAATGAAGTGCTGAAGAGTTGAGACGTAAATTCAAGACAGTCTGACCTAAAAGTTCCAGTTTTCATCATATCTTGTGCCTCCGACTTGTGCTGATGCATTTCAAATATGGCATCGTAGTAAAAAATTTAGTGTTTTTATTTTCTTTTATAGAATCTAAAACATCATCTATTTGAAGATACACCAATTATTTTACGTATCACAAAGAAAACATGCCAGCTAACATTTGATATGTTCATTTTATACTTAACTGCAAGTATTTTTAGATTTAGGATAAACATAGGTTTTTATCAAGTCAGTCACATGCACACAAAAAAGGAAACTATAAGCATGATAAGTAGGTTTAGGAAGTGGTAATTACTCTCACTACTGCAGTCTCCCTGAAAGCAGATACATAAAGTCAGCAATTGTGTCATCGTTTTCAGAGATGTTAGAAAGTTTTTTTAAAAAATGTGTCTCAAAATTGATACAGTAAGTCTCTAAGAATGAATGGCTGCTTTTTTGGAGTGAAATAAGCATATTAAGAAACTCAGCTTCTGAATCAAATAACTGTAGCTTCAGCAAGGCAGGCGTTTACTCCCTTCAAGGTCACAGAATTTTGCTGGTGGCTCTGCAGTGCTCAACACCTCCAGCCAGAGTGGGACACTGGAAAGGGTGGGCACCCCTCCTTTTAAGCCAGACTCACTGGGCCACACCTGACTGCAAGGGAGGTTCAGAAATAGAGTCCTGATGTACGGAGGACTTGTGCCCGGCTGTCACTCCAGGCCTCTGTTGTTAAAGGAAGAAGCGGGGAAATTGGTATTCTCCTCCACAGTAGTCCATAGTCCTGGATTTTTTTTTTAACAGTATTCATTTCATTTTGCAGAATTCATTCACATCAAAAAGATGAACCAGAAACTAGATTATCACAATAGGCTTGGGCTAGTAATATTTTATTCCAGTAATTACATGAATTTGGTGCTTATTTCTGTCATTGCTGCAGTGTTGAGGATTGACTCTAAAATTGTTTAACTAAAAACATTTTTGTGACCTAATTTCCACTAACACAGATATTTAACTGCATCTTCTGTGGGGCTAAGTTATAAATAAACCTCATGTCCCATATGTGTTGTGTTTTACTGTTTTCTCCTATCAGCTCTCTGTGCTAAAGTATGCTTTTTACCATTTTTTATTTCATTTATATCTGCTTAATTTAATGCAATTCTAAATTGATGTTTATTCTTCCAGTCAAAATTACTTAGCAGCTGGTCAGCAAGGTATTCGATAGCTACGTACTTGAACAGAAGATAGGTTAAAAATGTAAAAATGTGTCTCTGACACTTTGTAGTAGTAGTAGTATTCCAGCCAGAGGACTATTCTCAATGATACACTCTTTGACATTTGTCCTTGCTCATGTTTTTCTGTTTCTATTTCTAGCACTTTATTTTGTTATCTTAATAAAATAGTCTTTGAGAGCTGGAATTAACATTAAAAATATTCAGAAGATTTAATTTTTCCAGAGTAGCTTGCTTTAACAGTAAAAGACCGTAACATTTAAAAATCGAGTGCAATTAAAAGTTTTTAAAATTTATTTCATGGTACATACAATTACGGGTTTTCGATGTGCTTGGCAGTTGGTTCACTGAAGTATCAGAAGCAAACAGAAATGACTTAATATAAGCCAATAATTTCATTTTTAGCCAGCCCATTTCAGGATGTTTATTTATTTTGTCTGTTTTTTTATTTTTGGATAGTCAGGGAAGAAAATTAACAGCAACCCAAACCCTCTTGTGCAGATGTCAGTTGGTCACAAAGCCCAGGAGAGCAAGGTAAGTCACTGACATGCCGACTAGTTTCCTGTGGTGTCACCGTCACTTTTACCAAGCAGAGGGGGACCTTCAGACAGGTGATGGTGCAGGTGTCGAGACCATTGATTTCCGTATCTTTTGTTTCTCAAATCAGTCATTTCATAGATAACCAGCTACTTAATAGGTAACAGACATAGTGTTCATTTTTTAGAGTAACATGAAAAAATAGCATATGTATACATTTTTCCTTGATTTCGTGGGTAGATGACCTGGGACAAATTTCTAAGTTTTATTTGAATGCCCGGTAAACATTTTGGTTAGAAGATAACCAGCAGTGCGTAAATTCAGCAAGTACAATTCCGTTGAAGGGTCGAGCGAGGGCATTGCTGTTGCTGCAGTGTGTTCTACGCTCCTCACATGAGAGGGGACGTGTCAGGAATTTTTTTAAGTTATAGGCCACTGTTCACGGGCAGTTTGAGAGGTGTCCTGAGTGCAGCGCTGTGCAGCCCCTGGGGACATGCGGAGGAAGGCCACGCCCAGTGGGCGGACCGTCCTCACTGGGACGTGCACAGCAGGGATTTCCTGATGTCTCCCTGGCACACTGGGAGGCCTGGGCTCCGTCTTTTGAACACTTTCCACAATTGATACGGAATAGTACATGCTCAGTAAATAAATGGAATTTAAAGTCATCCTGAGCTTCCAAACACAGTAAATGGATAAACACAGAAAATGTCACAGAGCTGATATTAGAATATTTCTTTTAGATTCGGTATAAAACCAATGAACCTGTGTGGGAGGAACACTTCACCTTCTTCATTCACAATCCCAAGCGCCAGGACCTTGAAGTTGAGGTATTTTATTTGCTTTTTTAATTGATTTATTGATATATAATTAACATACAATGAACAACACACATTTAAAGTGTGTAATTTATGAACCCCTCACCATAATCAGTGCATCTTTGTCAACCTTATCCCCAAGTATTTCATGGTTTTTTTTTTAATTTTAAACTTTTGATTGATCGTTACTAGTATCTAGAAATAGTTGGTTTTTGTACACTGGTGTCATGTACAACCCTGCTAAACTTGCCTGTTGGATCTAGTTTTTGTGGATACTGCAGGGTTGTCTTCTGCACAGGCATCTGTGCTGTCTGCTCATCATGATTCCTGCTTCTGAGTTTCCCACCTGGATGCCTCTTATTCCTTTGCTCACCTTGCTGCCCTGCTGCCCTCAGGCCTAATGGATATGGACACCTCTGCCTCCCCAGTCTTCAAGGAGAAGCCTTAGTGTTTCTTCATCCAGCTTGTGTTTGAGGACATTTCCTTCTTCGCTGACGGCTAGTTTGCTGAGAGTTTTGTCATGAATAGATGTGAAATCTTATCAAAGGCTTTGCTACAGCTGTCAACATGATTTTCTTTCTGAATTTTTAAATGTGAAATACATTGTTGATTTTCAAATGTTAAACCTTGCAAATGTTTATTTGGTTTTCAAAATTTAACGCTAGAACACCTCATAAGTAAATCTTTATTTGGGCATTAGCTCCACTTGGTCATGATGTAGTATCCTTCTTGTGTATTTGATTTAATTTGCTAAAATTCTGTGAGGAATTTTTGTGTCTGAGTCCTGAAGGATGCTGATAGATCGTTTTGTTTCTCTAGTTTTTGTGTCAGGGTGTTGCTGGCCTTGGAGAATGAGTTGGGGAGTGTTTTCTCCTCCTCATTTTCCTAAGTCTGTGTGGAATCGTATGTTTGCCCCCTTGACAAGTTGATCCTGTATGACTGTAAAAATCCCCTTCTACAGGTACATTTAAATGATATTCTTTGTTCTGTAGTCAACTCTGATATTAATGTAGCTCCCTCATCTTTATTGGAGTTAGCATGGTTTATTTTTCCCATCCTTTTGTTTTTAACCTATTTGTGAATTTATATTGAAAGTTGACTTCTTCTAGAGACACATACAGTTGAATCTTGCTTTTTCATCCACTCCGACAGTCTGTTTAATTTCGGCATTTAGGCCATTCACATTTAGTGCTATTGACGTGGCTGGGTTTCAGTCTGCTGCCATGCTGCCTGCCTCGTTTATTCTTTGTTCTCTTTTTTAAAATCTGACTTATTTTAGATTAATCGAGGATTTTTTGTAATTGCACTTTATGTCCTTGTTTGTTTTCGAGCTGTTAGCAGTGGCTCCTGGGTTGGCGATGCCGTCTGTCCCTCGCACTGCTGTCCCTTTAAGCAGAGCTCCAGGTCCCAGAGGTGCGAGACCCTGCGTGGCGTGCTCCCATCCCCTCCCCCACTACGCATTTAGTATCTTTGCGTTAAACGATTACATTTTAGAGAGCTTCTGAAAAACCGAGGAAGTGTTTTTCCTACTTAGCCATCCCTCCTCTGCCCAAAGGACCCTGTAGCCGTGTCTGCGGGCGAGGAATTCTTTCAGCCCTTGTACAACTTAAAAGTCGTTTTCACCTTCACGTACCTTGTGAAAGTATTTTCACAAGATATAAAATTTTGGGTTAACAGGTTTTTTTTCTTCCTCTTTCTTTTATCTTGCATCGTTTCTGATGAGAAGCCTGCTATTGTGGGGTTTGGAAAATTTTTGACCACCAAGTCCTCAAAGTTTTTGCCACCTTAAGTATTGAATCTGCTGTCAATTCCATCCTGTGTATTTTTATCCTATAAGTTACATTTTTCTTCTTAGAAGTCGTTTGGATCTTTTTATCTTCTGTGTCTTTCCCCACCTTCCCTCGTGCATGTATACAGTATGCGTGATGCTGTCATCTGTGTAATTGTCACATCTGCTTCTGCCCTCATTAGGTCATATAGTCCTGCTTTTTAGGTTATTTTTAGGTAATTTTCCTCATTAGGTCATATAGTTCTGCTTTTTAGGTAATTTTCCCTTGCAAATTTTATGTTTTTGAGTGCTGAGTTTTGTAGTCCTTTAAATATTTTGGAACTTTGTTCTCATTAAGAGCCTTTTGAGGCTTGATTTAAGCTTTGTTAGGCAGCCCAACAGCCTTTAGTCTTGGGATCATGTGGCCTTAGTCTGGTGCCCCACGCGTTATGAGATTTCTCCTCTCAATTTGGAATGGATACTCTCTGCAGCCCTTTGTGCCCTGGGGATTGTCCCCCAGCTCTTCCCGGGCACGTGTCCTCATGTGGGTCGTTCACTCACATGTGCCACTGAAGTCTCAGAGGGTCCCTGGAGGCTTCCAGCTCCCTCTTTGGGACTCTCTCCTCTCTGGAGCCTTCTGCTCCTGAATCTTCACCCTGTGTCAGTGCAGGGGGACCGCTGGCCTTGGTCTGGGATCCTCATACTGGTACCAGGGCCTAGACACACTCCAGGCAGCGACCAGATCAGTCATTGGGCTCACCTCCCTTGTTTCCGGTCTCCCAGCGTGCCCTTGTGTCCAGTGTCTTGTGCTGTCTAAAACCCATTGTCTTATGTATTTTATCTGCCTTTTATGCTAAGGTGGGATGATAAATTCGGTTCCTATTACTCCATCATGGACAGAAACAGGAGTTCTCTGCATATTTTGAAATCCTATATGTAAATTACATGCATGGACGGACTTAGAGAGTCTTCTTGCATGTGGACCTGCTACTCCCAGTGGTTGCATGTTCTGTCCTTCTCTGACATTCGCTCAGCTTAAAGGACAGTGCTGTTCTTAGTAGGTCGCATCCATGGTCATCCGGTGCTGGGCGTACCAGACTTGCCAGTCTAAATGATTCTAGTCCCCGTATCTTTTTTGCATGGCCTACTTTTCAACATTCAGTCTTTGAGAAGTTTACGGGCCTCTGTTTTCTGTTTGTCTTGTGCCACCCTGACTCGGTGTCTCATCCCCTGAGATCTTGAGGTTCGAGGGGGTCCTGCCGTTGAGGCCTCACGTCATCCTCCACAGAGCACCAAGTCACTGTCAGGCATGCTGGCCTGCTCCGTTCTTCTCTGCTCGTTTTGCCTTTTTACATTCTGTTTTATACGCTATGTGCAGGTATTGTAAAATTTTAAAATAACCGTATAGATTTTGAATAGGGAAGGCTTACAAGACATTTAGAAATATTTTTTCTTTATAAACAGGTGTTACCAACAGAAACTTGACACATCACTATGAATGTGTATTGTCACCATTTTCATGGGGATTAAAGTATTTCTTTATAACCTTCAGGTTTGTGTGGACCGCTGCCTCTTAACTCAGGGTTCTGGTAATGGATTCATAAAAATAATGTTCTTTTTTTGCTGGTAATTTTTCTATTAGGAAGTGACAGATACTTGTGAGGTAGATACATTGTAGCATCATTCGTTACAATGTATCGTATCTTCCGAAGGCGGTTTCCTGCTGTGTTAATCATTTATGGAAACACTACTTAGAAAGAGATGGCTGAAGTTTGTTTTTTAAAGACTCAATTGTGGACCTTTCTTTGTTTCTTGTCTTTATCCTGAGAGCTTCGTGTGTTCTGTCATGTGTTTTGCAGGTCAAAGATGAACAGCATCAGTGTTCCCTGGGGAATCTGAAGATCCCTCTCAGTCAGCTGCTCAGCAGAGATGACATGACTATAAACCAGCGATTCCAGCTCAGTAATTCAGGTCCAAACAGTACTCTGAAGATGAAGATCGCCCTCAGGGTACTTAGTCTCCCCCAGGAGACAGGGGTGGGTGGGGGACGAGCTGCAGTGGCGATGCTCGTAGGCACTGCTCCACAGGTGGGTGGTGCTCATGGCGACGGCCACGGGGCACTGGATAAAGGTGGCTGGGAGTCATGGTGCCAGCGCAGGGCCAGTGCTGACAGGAAGGCCCTGTGTGGGGAGCGTGGACGCTACTGCATGTTGTGGACGCTCAGGGGGAGACTTGAGGCCTGGACTCAGACGTCCGTGAGTAGTCCAGGGCACTCATGCTGTTCACGGCTCCAGCCGACCATGTTTTCATCCTTTGGCTCAGACAGTATTGCTATGTGGATCAACAAAGTTTTCTGCTCAGGTTCAATTTTTAAAGGCCAGTTAGAAGAAAGAATTTAGTAAAACTGTACCAGATGGTAGAATTTACAGAAAAAAATTTTGTCCTAAATAGACAATAATTCATTTGAAAATACCTAAAGAAATGTTGAAAATAAAACTGGCAGACGTATGAGAGAGTGCTAAAACTCACTGATTTAAAAAATGCAAATTAAAACGAAGAACCGACTTTTCAAAAAAATTGAAGCAGACCACATGTAGAGACTGCAGTGGGAATGGCCCCTGGCGCCTGGTCAGGACCTGCAGCCTTTCCAAAAAGGACCGTGGTGTCTCTGAGCCATGAGTCAGAGCCCCTTGGACCAGGGACCTCTCTCTGGAAATCTGACTTTTGGTGATAATGCAGAATGTAGAGAAGCCGTGAACACGCAGAGGTTTGCTGCAGCTTTATTTTGTAAAAGTGGAGAAAAACTTTCTCACCATCATACACACCCCAGGGTGCAGGGGTTTAGGAAGCATAGACTCTGCTCAGTGGAATGTCGTGTGCGTTAAAAGTAAATAGTAGAAACCAGGAAACTGAACGATGCTGCACCGTCACAGGTGCAGGCGTGAGGGCTGCTCCTGCATCAGCGCTGGGGATCTGGGTGGAAGTGTCCTTGACGCTCATCTTTCCTCAGGGTTGCCGGTGGAGACCACCCGTGTAGGGTGAGGGGTGAGTCCTGTGCAGGGTGCAACTCAGGCTCTTCCAGCAACAACATCACCCACAACTATGGAAATGCGTGCAAATGGAAGAGGCTGAAGGGAATATACAGAAATGACGTTTATACCATAGAAGCGATTACTTAATTTTTTTTTTAAACTTCCTGTAAGATTACTTCAATAATAGGGTAGCTGAATAGACTAGATTTTTGTTTAATGTTAGTTCCAAGTTTTAAAGAAGCATTTGCAGATGAATGTATCTAAAGCTGTTCACGTATCAGGCTGTTGTCAGTGTCGCCGATTTTAATTTTGCGTTAATTTCCACCTCCAGGTGCTCCACCTGGAAAAGCAGGAACGGTCTCCAGACCACCAGCACTCAGCTCAAGTAAAGCGACCCTCTGTTTCTAAGGAAGGAAGAAAAATATCTGTCAGATCTCAGAGGACCGCGTCACCAGGCGCTGGTGACAGTAGCACGGCCCCGTCCACACCGGTCCCTGGGGGCGGTGATAAGCCCAGCGCGGAGGAGAGAGCCCAGCCTGCGGAGGCCAGCCCGCCGGGGCTGCGAGGCCTGGGCAGAAGCTCCTCCAGCCTCCAGGTCGGCGCCACCTGCTCCCCCAGCCACACGTTTGTCAAGGAGCCCACGCCCAGCATAGCCTCGGACATATCGCTGCCTGTCGCCACGCAGGAGCTTCGGCAGAGGCTGCGGCAGCTCGAGAAGTAACTAGATGCTGCGTTTGCTCCTGTTGGGTCAGAGAGCACGTTGCCGTGTTGCGGGGGGCTGGGCGGGGGTCTTAAGCCCAAGACCTCGGGGGCTGACATCCTCAGGGAGACTCGCTTTAGAATAAAGCCTGGCACTTCCTAGGGTGTAGTATTTGGCCCAGTCGAGGGTGGCAGGTCCCATGGTCAGGAAAGGCACTGCAGCTCAGACCAGGGAGGCGGGGAGGACGCCGACCCACTGGTCCAAACATGGGACCTGCGCCTGCCCTGTTGGACCAGGGCCTGTTCTTTCATGTTCAGCCCACGCCCCGCTGCTTGTCCCGTTCTCTTCGTGTCTGAATTTGGGCATTTGTGTTGATTTCTTATTTAAGCTCCATGACTCGTAGATATGTTCAGGGTTCTTTAAATAGGGAGGAAAAAACAGTGCTGTTATCAAAGCTTCAGACCTCAACCTTTTCCTCTCAGTGGAAGGAGCCAGGCAGTCATTGGCTTTCTCAGGGTCCGTGCTTCAACCTTGAGAGAGAAATCAAGGCTCATGTTGTGATCTCTTCAGATGTCCTGTCGGTGTACAGCAAAGGGGCTCCTGTGGCCTTCTGAGAAAGGACACATAGATTTGGGCACTTACGAGCCCAAGGACCGCAGCGCTGATGTTCGTAATTAGGAGACCTCCATGTCTCGCTTTATGTTGGGCCCTAAATGAAAAAGCTGTCGATTTTGAACAATTAGATTGAGCTCTTAACTGAAATAGGAGTTTGGCTAGTTGATTTATCCTCAGAGGTTCACACTGTGTGAAGTTCATGGGTAATGGGATTCCTTCCTGTCTGCATGAATGAACATGATCTTAGCTGTGATTGTGGTGACGACTCAAGACCTGCTTAGGGTCCTAGGAGAATGTGACTTTCTGCCTTATTTCCTCAGTGGGACGACGCTGGGGCAGTCTCCGCTGGGGCAGGTCCAGCTGACGATCCGGCACAGCTCCCAGAGGAACAAGCTAGTGGTGGTCGTGCACGCCTGCAGGTGAGCTGGCTCCGGCCGCGGCCTGGACGGCGAGACACTCGGCTCTCGCTTCCTCACACAGGGCACTCGATTTCTCTTTTTAGAGAACAAGGCAGTAAGATCTACCTTCATCCTAGAAGTCAGTGTTTGTTCCGTTTTTGTTCTTAGCCTTGTTTCATAAACAGTCTGTTTATAACCGTTTGGTTGCTCTGCAACACTCCTTTGAACTGTAGTTTGTGTAACGTTTCCTGTTGTTGGATGTTTACGTGGTCTGTGTTATGTGGAACATGATAATGAACACATCTATCTTTTATCGAAGTGTTTTTGGGCATTCGGTTTCCAGGAGTAAATTTATATCAAGTCAGAGGGTCCCAAAAGTTTATGGTCTTATGGTAGGTATTGCCATGGCCTTTCAAGAGGCACACCATTGACATCAGCACCCAGGGTGCGGGTTTGCCTTTCCCCCACATCAAGAAGGATTTGCCTTAACTGTGTGGTGCGCTGACGTGGAAAGGTGGGCAACAGTGTGTCTTCCACCTATGTCTGACCAGTGACGAGGGTGTGGAGCTGACTATTTTTCTTTTATGTGACTGGTCTGTCTCTGTAGTCATAGTGATATAAATACTATATAAAATCTATATAAATCGTCCATCTGATGATCTTGGATCTTAATAAAAAGCTTTTGGAAACAGGAAAATAAAATTAGTGATGTTTACAAATATGACCATATAAATGTAGAGTTCAGTTCAATACATATGTATTGAGCACCTTCTACGTTCTTGCTGCTGAGAGCATCAGTATGGGAGATCCAGGAACAGAAGACTTTTAAGAGTCTTCCCCTCACTAGATTCTCAGGTCCATCAGTAAGTGAATAATTTGAAGTGGTTGCATATAATTCACATAAGCGAGAGTCCAGTTCCTGTGGCATATTTCCGATCTCAGAAACATCACCAAACTTCTAGAGACCCAGAACACTTCTATTATTAAATTTTGAAATAAACGTGAGTTCCACGTACATTTAAAAAAGATGAGTAAATGAAAATAAGTGAGATCATGCTTTCTAACAAGCGGGAGCCACGGATGACTGGAGCAGCTCCCTGCAGCTCAGAGCCACCTACGCCCCTCAGCCGGGGACGTTGTAGACACACCATTGACCTCATGGCACATCTTTGGGACGTGGGAGGAAGCGAGTCTCCGGAGAAAATCCCTGAGACGTGGGGAGAAGGCGCACGCTCCACACCACGGTGCCTTTGCTGTAACCAAACGACGTCACTCAGGACCTGCTCTAGTCAATTTGTATGTGATGCCAGTTGTCATTTTTCTACATTCTAATGTCTGCTGTTCTCTGGTTTGTGTTACAAGAAATCTCATTGCCTTCTCTGAAGATGGCTCTGACCCCTATGTCCGCATGTATTTGTTACCAGACAAGAGGAGGTCGGGAAGGAGGAAAACACACGTGTCAAAGAAAACCCTGAACCCCGTGTTTGATCAGAGGTACGGGCTGCACTCAGCTGGGGCAGAGGGTCGGGTTCAGTTGGGAGGCCCGGTCCATGCCTTCGAGTGACTAAGGCCTTCAAGCCAGCACACTGCTGCGAAGTGGAGTGACGACAGCAACTCCAGGTTAGCAGGCGCGGCCATGTTAAAACGCGCGGATATTCGGAACTTCATGTAGAAGTTCCACAGTAAACAGAAGTAAACGGGGACGGGAGACGAGCGGCTCAATAAAGAGAAAGGGACCGACGGCCCTAAAGAACTTTCTTTTTGGGGGCTTATGTCTGTTGATATTTGCTACATTGTAAATCAAAACTGAGAATGTTAAAAAATAGATATTTGTAAATAATAATAAACCTATACCATCTTAAAATACAACATTTTTATGAAAACAACTAGTTTCCAAAACAATTTTAAAATTTTGTGAAAAGAATGGCATTAACGTTTTACATTTTTGCAAATCTCTCTAATGGTCTGGCGTAAAGGGGCGCATCTCTGCTTCTGCGGCCGGTCCGGTGTGATGAGCGCCTGAGCGGGTCTTCAGGCCACACTCAAAGAGCCTCGGCCTGTGCAGATTTAGCGTCTTACTTCACAGTTCTCTGTAGCTAAAACGGCATTTTGGGAAATAAGAAAGTCGAATGGCATCATATCTACTAATTCAGATGCTAGTCATTTATCCTGTTTTTACTAACAGGTGCGCACTGGATCCTGGCATGGGCACATTTTATTTAGCGTGTTTTTACATAGCTGCGGCATTTAAGAATCAAATTTGGGTCTCTAGCTGCTGGAGCTCCTGGGACGGCCACCTCCTAGCCTTGTCCCTGCAAGGCCTCAGGCCCTTAGTCCTCTGGTTTGTCAGAGCCCCTGCTGCATCCTAGCCACACACCATCTGGCTTCAAGGACTTGCTTCCCTGAAGGCATTTAATTTGCGCCATGTGACTTCAGCCACTAGAAAGTGTGGCGGATCCTTTCCCTTCCTGGAAGCCAGGTCACTCCCCCAGGCTTGGACATTGCTCTCCTTTAGTCTTTAGGCCTGGGCGAGTGAGCCAGTCTGGGCCTCCCTATTGTGACACGCATAACCTCCGCGGTCCCACATAGTAACAGCCAGGAAGAGCAGGAGTGAGGGAGCTGCAGGTGGTAGGGCCTCACACATGCTGAGAGTGCCAGAGTCTTCTCTTAACGTTTGGAAAATAATGAACAATAATTTTTTTTGTATCTCCATGAAATGCCAGACCGAAGCATCTAGCAGGAGAACTCCGTTTTATACTAACGAACATAATGTTTGGAGTGGTCTCAAAAGCAGAAATGTCATTTTCAGTTACAATGAAACGCAGCAAGATTAAGGCGACATTTAAGGAAGGCGCTCTTTTTCTCTCTCAGCTTCGATTTTAGCGTTTCCTTGCCAGAAGTGCAGAGGAGAACACTGGATGTCGCTGTGAAGAACAGCGGCGGCTTCCTGTCCAAAGACAAAGGGCTTCTTGGCAAAGTAAGTTTGAACAAATCCTCGACGGGTTTCTACACTTTGCCAAACTTCAGTGCTAACCCGAAGAGCATTTTTTAGACCATTCTTAGTAGAAAGGGACAGACTTACTCTGTGATGAATGCTTATTCATAAAATAGTAGACCGTGAAAGGCTGTGTATCAGCTAAGACATCGATACATTTCGAAGGTATCTTAAGTTATTTTCATTGTTTTCACATAGTCACATTACTGACATATTAGTCATGCTAATCCTACGAACTTATAGTTTAACAGAAGGTTAATTTTTAAACAAAAATCGTTTTTCAAGTATCATATGAAAGAAAACCCAAAGGGACAATATTCTCTTACAGTCCCATCTCCTCAATTAACTGTTGTTGTTTTTTTTCCTAACAAATCATTTATTTCTCTGAATTTCTTCTGGTCTTGTCCGTAGTTGCATTTAACTCTTGCATAAGATTATACATTTGTAATTATATACACAGAAGTTAGGAGTTTTCCATTGTAGATGCTATGCCATTCACGGGCAGTCCACATCAGCTATGCTGCCAGCGATGGCAGGGACGTCCACATATCCCCGCCGTTAACCCTGTCAGTTATCGCCACTGATACTTCACGATACCCTAACTTAAGACTATTGGCTACAGGAAGGACGTCTCAGATATGACCAAGCATATAGTTCATAGATGGATCCCAGGGCAGAAAGGATTGAAAAATGAGAGACGTTACAAGAGGGCTCCATACTGCCAGATTAAGACAGGAGAAGGTTGGAGACGTAGGAAGTCGTGGTGAAGGGTCTAAAGGAATTAATTCAACCCACTTTTACAAACGTTTTATAACCCACAGGTACTGGTTGGCCTGGCATCTGAAGAACTCGCCAAGGGCTGGACCCAGTGGTGAGTGCCCCTGCCACAGACGTCAAACCGATAATCAGAATCCCGCATGTTTATTCAGTTGCACTTTCTACAAATGACCACATGTCTGTCGTCATCTTCTTATGCTCTCAGGTATGACCTCACGGAAGATGGGACGAGGCCACACATGGTGACGTAGGCTCGCTGGGCGTGAGGAGCCCTTCTCAGTATCCGCCCTTCCCATGTGCCTCGACTGCACCCTCCCACAGATGTGCTGATGCTATTTTTCTACTTTCGTGTACTCAGTTATACATACCTTGGTAGTTTTATAAAACATGTCGACACTTTAGACATATTTGGCCAACATTGTTAAATTTTGTATGTTTGATTTGCTCTGGTATTTCTCGCCAGTTATTACAGTGTAGACGATAGAATATGATAGAATATAGTTATTGTGTTACCTTAAGCTGTATGTCGGTTGTGTCTACTAGGAAGCAGATACATGTATATGCTTTATCATTGCCTTGTTTTGTATATCACTGAGGTACACCATGCCATGTAAATAGATTCTATTTTTTATAATCTCTACATGCTGGTATGAATTCAAAAGAAAATGGATTATGGAAATATTTATATTTTTTCTTCTAAAACTTATTAAATTCTTATGATAATCATTTTTGTCTTTGCAGAAAAAAGTTCTCAGTGACTTATTTTATGACGTTTCTTTTTAAAAAACAAAGATTATTAAATATTAGTTACCAATGAAAGAAAGTATACAAAATATTAATACTTTCATAAATAAAAAGAATTATTGAGAAATTGGTTGAAGTGCTTATAAGGAAAAATGTTATATAGCTGAGCAGCATAAAATATTAAGAGAATTGTTGTGCTTCATAAATCAGCATACCAATCTGAAATTTCTTACATGAAATTAAATGTCTTCAGTGTCTTTTTAATTGCTGTTTATAACTTATTCATGAAATAGTGCACACGTACAAAGTTATGCTTTTCCTAAAATGCGGTATGGACAGATTTTCAACGTTAGCAGGTAGGCTATTGTGAAATAGTCAGTCCTCAGCTTTGTTAATTTTTCGTGTTTTCCCAGCCTGTAAGGAAAGACAAGCTTACACTGTCACCGTTAAGGCTGTGTGGTAAATCGGGCCAAGTAGATAGGAAGTCGTGTTAGAAAACCACAGCCAATCCAGTCATTCACCTTGTGACGTGGCACATAGGACTGATCCCCTCACTGGTACTCAGTGTCGTTCTGCCCTTAACGCTCAGGCCGCCAGGGGGCCCAGCGGTGCCAGCACAGAGGCTGCTGGTTGTAAACACCGTTTCCTGGGCGTGCTTCCCTCGTGCCGTGACTGACCTCAGTATTGGAATATTGTTATTCAGTTTTTATTTTGGAATACATTTTTCTCCTTAGATTATTAAAAGCATGTTTTATATGCTTAAGAGTGTCACATGGCAGTGTCATGAGCTGTGCGTGCCTACACACAAAGGACGCGCGCATGCGTAGAGGGTTTTTACTCGTTTTACATTTATGATGCAAATGACTTCCTTAGCCATGAGAACATTCTGAAATTAAGTGTAAACACCTTGGGGACGTGGAGCTTCGTGAGTGAGAGAGGGGTCTACCATGAATCGCTTCCTGGGCTCTGGACTGCTCGGTGAGCAGATGAACCAAAGTGCCTGTGGTGACGCTGGTCGCTACCGCCGCACACCCTGCCTTCCGGCGGCTTTCAGCTTACGCTCTGAACCGGGGGCATTATTCACAGTGGAGTCTGTAGCTTCAAAACACGTTTCACAGAGTCATAAAGACCAGTCTGATCTTGCCGCTTTCTGTTTAGTGTACAGGGGGAACTTTATGAACATATATGCACACAAAGCACTTAACCGTTAGTAGCATGAGAAAGACAGATATTTACTTACTAAATCTAGTTGCCTGCTCATGATACTAAATTCATTGAAGACATTTTAAAAATTAGATCTGCGGAAGGACTGGCATGAACTAGAATCACCGTTGAGGGGACTTAGCACTCCAGGGTCCTGGCGATGGCACACTGAGCTCCCAATGGGTTTGTTGGCTAGTTCCTGACAACTCATTCATCGAGGAAAAGGGGACTTCAGCTTTTCTGCATTCAGCCAAACCAGTGGAGAGAAATTCACTTCAATGAATGTGAATTCTGTTAGTTTGAACTTGTGGGTTGCTTGTCCTGTGCCTTAAAATAGGAAGTAAAAAAGCGCTGTTTTCAAGTTTCAGATGAAAACAAAAGCCCAGTAGTTGTATTTGCCACACTTGACATTCTGTATCGAGAATTCCTTTTGCAGACACTTCATCGAGACCTCAGCCTTTTCAAGAACCTAAGCCAAATGCAAATATATGCGTACGTGCACGTAAACTGTGGTGGTGACTTTTGTTCTGACGCTAGCTGGAGCACCCGCTGCGAATGTAAAACTGCAGAGGATGTATTATAGACTGTCCTTTCTGTTCCGCTAACTCTACGTGACAGCGCATGTATTTATTCAATAAAACTTTTATGTTAGCTCACTTGTGATTTGTTTTTCCTTTGTCTTGAAATGAAAATTCTAATGAGGGACCACATGGTCTAAAAAGTAAATAGAGAATACCATTCGTATTTGCTCTTCGTGAATTCTTTCATTCTCAGAAGAACTGCATCAGGTCATTGATGGTACTCTTCTTTTTGCATCTTAAATGGACTGTCATCTGCCCACCTTAAACCCTGGGTTTTGAAAACTCTTCTGAAAGATAAATATGAGTAGAAAGTATAGTCTTTAATTGTGCTTTATAACCAGAGCACTGAGAAGTAATGACGCCTCCTGATGCCTCCCTCTGCCTCTCGTGAAAGGCAGATGCCACGTTCTTTTGTTCTGTTGAGACTATATCTACCTCGGAGTTTGTCCAAGCCACTGCATTATCCACACAACAGCCAAGTGGATCTTTTAAAACACAGATCTGACTCATCACTCAATGCATTCCATTGCTCTTAGAATAAAGACACAGAGCATATCGTGGCTCTGAGGCCCTGACCTTCCCAGCCGTGTTTTCTCTTGTGACCCTCATCCGTGAGGCTTCCTCTTAGCTCCTTGGACTCTCCACCCTTCTTCCCATCTCCGTGCCTCCTACCTGTTCTTCCTCTGAGTCTAAGTGGAACAGGATGCCGAGCCAAGGTCCTAGGGTCACCCTAACCTTTCTGTCTCCATAGGTTCACCTGTCTGAACGTTCCATGTGAATGGAGCACACACCATGTGGCCTTATGTGTCTGTGGCTTGCACTGAGCATCACGTTTCCAGGGGCCTTCCACACAGTAGTGAGTGTCAGAGCCTCGTTCCCTTTTACAGCTGAGTGAAACTCCAGGGCATGGATGGACTCCATCTTGTTTGTCCACTTGTCGATTAGTGGACTTTGGGCTGTGTCTATTTTTGGACATACTGGTGCCTTTGGGAGGATAGTGACCATCTGTGTTGTATGTCCGGCTCAGAAGGATGCTGAAAAGGTGCCTTACCCCATAGTCCAGTGCTTGGCTGCTGTGGGTTCATTCAGCATGACCGGGCACATCAGCAGCATTGATTTTGCACTGCGCCACTCAAGTTTCCTCCTCCATCTTTTCTGAGATCAACTTCTAACCTTTATTTTAGAATCACGCGGGGAATCCTAATACCAATGAACAAACACACACCCAGCCGTATCCCCAGCTTCATACTGTTATAAGCAGATCAAGAAATTCCAACGTGCCATGGTGAGAATGCTTTGTCCTTGACCATCTCTTCCCCGCCTTGAGTTACCTACTCGGGGAACCTTTGCCCTGCTCTGCGGGAGTCTCCCTGGGAGTCAGTGCTCCCCCACCAGGGACCCAGGAGGAAGAAGTAGGTGGGTAGCTTGCCTTTCCCTTTCAGTCTTCTCAAGGCTGAAAGGGAAAGGCGAGCTACCCCCCTCCATCAGTCAGGAGGGGCTGGCAGACTCCTGTAAGGGAAGTTTGGCAAGAGTCTTAGAGAATTATAATCTAGCGGGAAACGGATAAACTGGAGACCTCCCCAGAGTCCGAAGGGCTCTGCCCTGTACGTCCCGATTCCGAACCCAGCTCACTGGCCTCACCTCCCACTCCCATGTCTCCATTCAGCTGAGCAATGGGTAACAGCAGATGCCCAACTTTTTCACCCTTCCACCCCTCCCCCAGTTTTCCCTAAGAGTGTCAATGTGGGGTGCAGCTGGTGTCCTGCAGAGCCCATTGGCCCAGTTCCCAGGGGCAAGGGGCAAGTGTGGGCCTTGAGCTTCCAATTACTTCTGCTTTTTCTTTAATTCAAATACGTCCACATCCACATTTCCCAGTCCAGACTTGTAGAGACAGTGCAATGTAAAACCACAGGAAGGAAGCGTTTCTGCCACTGCCCCTGATTAGCCAGGAGCCCCGCCCCTTCCTCGGAATCCGGAGCTTGAGCCCCTGGGTAGTGTCCTGTTGTTTAACTCTCAGCTCTGCGCCCGGGGACAGCCAGCTCTTCACTCTGCTCCACCCTGGAGGTTTCCCCAGAATGGCTGGGAAATGCTCTTCGTAATCAGTGGTATATTAAGTTTTTAAAGTTCCTGGCCGGTGACCACCTGTTGTTTTAGCTTATTTTCCCATTTACAATTATGATTAAATTACAACTTTTTATTTAGGCAGAAAATATTTCTGGGAGAGACTATTCAGGAAACTAGTAAGAGTGGCTTCCTTTGAATTTGAACTATATTATCATGTTATTTGCCTAATACAAAATATACTAAATTTTTTTAACTTTATACTTGGTCCATTATCAAAGATATTATTTTAGCCAAATTTTATACCCTTTTAGTCTATATGTTCCTAACAGCTTCAGCCTTAGTTTATGTTGCCTTGCTATGGGGTCCAATTTTAATTCTATAAATCTTTTCTCATGACCACATTGTAAGGTTTTAAAAAGAGATTATTTCACATGTCATTCATTTATCACTGATGCTGAAGACTGGATGAGGCCAAGGGGTTGGGGAATTCTGGGATGGGGGGCTCTGTGGAGTTTTGGAGGGGGCTGAGGCATGTTCAGTTGGGAAAAGACAGGTTGGTGCATTCAGGGACTGGCAGGCATGTCTCCAAGCCCTTCATTTTATTTTTGAGGAAACAGGCCGAGAGTCACTGGGTGGCCCATCCAAGGGACAGCAGAGTCGGATTGCCCAGGCAGTGTGGCTGCAGAACCCACCTTGTTTTGTCATTTTCTTATTCAAGAGGTAGAAACAGCAGGAAGAGATAGCTGAGTGGAAGTGGGGTAGGAGTGAGGGAGGGCCGGGATTCAGCAGATGGGAGGGCAGTTGGCACTTCGGTCCTGGACGTGTGTGCCACAGCCGGTGGGTGTCCATGAGCTGTGGGATTCTGGATCTCAGAGAAGTGTGCACGTGGACCATTGGTTCCAAGGTGGGAGTGGATGCCTAGCGTGGGGTGACAGCACTCAAGGAAGAGTCCAGAGTGAAAAGTGGACCCAGCCTGGGGCATCAGTGTGCAGGGATTGCAGGGGAGGGAGTGATGTGCAGTGGGGGAGCAGGAGGCCTAGGCTCAGGCGCCTGGTGTGATGCGGGTCAGTGGCCACACTGAATACCTGCCGACATGGGGGTGGGCCTCCCCGTGCTCTCCGTGGCCCCCTCTGCTGCCTCACTGCTGCAGACTAACAGACCAGTCCTCCCACCCCCTGAAAGGCTATCATTTTATATTGTTGAACTAATATTTTTGATTTATTCGATTTAATAAGGCACATGATTAAAACTTGTGTCACCTATTTATTTATACTTTTTCTAGTGATTCCTAGAGGTCTGTAGTTGCATCTGTGACTCACGTTGTATTTCCACTGGGCAGTGCTAAGCTAGGACAGTGATGCCCACCCCACCCTCCCTCCCTGAGACCTCCTGTTAGTTTGGGCTCAGCCAGGGACTGAATCCACTCTGGACATTTCAAGAATGAAAGAAGTAGCTGCAGGAGACTGTGTCCTCACAGAGGACTTTTGGGGAAGGGCAGTGGGACTCGTGTAGACAGAGGCTGAGCACCTAGGAGTTTGCTGTCCATGGACTGAGGATTTCAGACTTTGGAGTGAGTCGGAGAAGAAAGAATAAGGGACATGGCAGAGCCTGTGGGAGATGAGGGTCGTCTGGGAATGTGGGCTGTGTGTGGTGACCGGCTTGAACAGGGCAAGGAGGACAAGGAGCACAGAGCATGCCGAGACAGCCCCCACACCTGGACGTGGGTTTCTGGGACTCCCTTTCCCTTTCACAAGGAAAGACAAAAGCCTGATGAGATGGGGGTCTCAGACCCGTGGGAGTGGTCATGCTAGACCCCTGGTGACAGTCTTCTTGTCTGGAAGAGGGAGGACTGGGTGAGGCCAGGCAGCCCTGAATTCATCCTGGTGATCAGAGCCAGACTGAGGAGATGCACTCTGTTTCTCAGTAGTTTGTGAAACTCTTCCCAACTTTTTTGACAGTTGATTTCATCTTGACAGATTAGCTTCACAGTGAGGGCTGGATTTACCACTCGGATTGTTTGGAAGACAATTCTCCATGAACTGAGTGATTTAAATCTGTAGCTCTCTGAGGTGTGGGAAAAACATAAAGCAAACGATAAAAGCTTCTGTTTAAAGAAATTTTATTGACAAAGTGCCTTGAAATGCAAAAGAGTAACCTCTATAATTAGTAGTACTTTAATGTATCTGGGTAAAGGTTTTTTGGTTAACTTCCTAGAAACCGACAAAGTGAATGATTTCAAGCTACTGGATAAAAAATCTTTTTTAAACTTGGGTTGCTTCCAAGTTTTTGCTTTCAAAAAAAATCGAAAGAAAGCCCAAATTGTTAACTGATACAAATTAAATTAAAAGAAATTGATGATAATCAGCATGTGGCTTTTGGCATTTAACTAAAATATGTTCAATGAATTGAGTGACATTGTTATTAATTTTTCATTTCTGTCCCTTTATGTGAACAACTTTTCTCAATATTTACATCCATAAACATGAAAAATCAGAGTAGAATATTTATCCTTGGAAACATAAGTTGATTGGAAAAAATAGTCTTAACCATAGCATTAAAAGGTGTGCTTCAACAAAATTTCAGTTTCAAACTTAATCAGTATTTAATACGTTTTAAAATTTATATTGTTTTGATTTCTTTTATATACAGTAAATGTGAAAGTTGTCAAATCTAGAGCATTATGGTTACAAAATGCTAAAAAATCAATTTATTTTACTGGAGACGTGATCCACATACTGCCTAACAAAAGTAGGTATTACGTCAGGATAGAATCTTGTGAAGACGTGGAAATTAGGGTTCAAAATAACAGATATCCAGTTGCTAGAGTATTCAGATAGAATTGAATATGTAGAGAGTGATGTCACAGTTTTATTTTGTGTCAATTTTTATATCGGGGACTGCATCTGCTTAAGCCACTGATAAATCGAATTTTGATGTCAGACGGAAAATGCGAGCGTCCGCCTTCGC